AACTAGACATTCCTTACGGTCAACGGATCAGATACGCGATACCCCCCGAAGATCAATTTTGCACAGACTGGTTGCACAGACACATTCCTTATCACGACCTCACGACCCGGCTTCCCCTGCCGACGGTACGAAATAGACATTACACTCCTTATGAAAGAAGAAAGATGGAAGGAAACAGGGAAAAGGAAAGAACATTGGCTGGCTGGGAAATCTTGGAGGTCAATCGGATGCATAGCGGCTTGCTATTCGTGTCGGTTCCATCGGCCCCCCGTCGGGGGCGCTTTGGCGCAGGACACACATTGCATTGGGCGGCGTTTTGTTACATGCTTTTTGTTTTGACTTTTTTTTTTTTTTGGTTTTTGGAATTGGTCAATTTTTGCGGCTTGATGCTGTTGAGCACGCGATCTGATCTAAGGTCTTGTTTGATCTTTCTGGATTTTGCAAAGCACCTAGCGTTCTAGTCTTTGGACTTTCGAAAGCGGGAAGATGGAAGGATGACGAGACTGTCGAAGGAAACATGGACTAGGTAGTTAGTGAGTGGATGGATGAACATGCTCTTGTGCGGAGGAGGCGATGTCCCCTTGGCAAAAGCATGATGGATTAATTCATGGATCTTGGAGGCTGTGTGCCTCCCACCCAATACTTAGTCTCTCTCCCAGCCCTTGGTGACATTTCTTTCAAAAGAGCCGCGCGATCTGGCTTTGAATCTTCATTGGTTGCAGAGCCGTCGTAGGGGTCGTCTGTTGGCTCGATGTTCAAGGTGGATGGATCGCTGGATCACACTCTATGTGGCGGAGCAGGCTACTGTGCGACCCCTTGACGTCGGTACTCTGATCCTGACTTTGGTAATAATGGCTGTTCACAGGCTCATCTCTTCCTGGCACTAGACCTGCCCACCTAGCAGCGCATGCCCGCGGGAGATCAGGTTGCGCCGAGGGGCGAGGCGGCAGGGGCTGGCTCGAGGAGGACGGGTCAACACTGCAAACGCGAGGAGAGGCGTGGAGCCGAGGCCTCTGTTAGAAGGTTGACGTTTGAGGTCTCGGTGGCTCAACTCCCTCCTACCATGACCTCACACAAAAGAACGGAATGATCACAGACAGGTGGAGGGGCAAACAAGCAGGGAGGGGGGCGTCGACGTAGTTGGTGCGACTGGCTTTGTCATGTGTAGGACTGATTCTGTTGTACCTCGAGCGAGAACGAATAGTATTCTGCGCTCGCGGACGATCCTGCTCCCCCCGTTTCCCCCCTATTTTGAGGCTTTGCCCTTGAAGGCTTTGCTCTTGAAGGGGTGTGGATGTAGTGCTATGCGGGTGTTGCACGTTGCTACTGTATTTTGCGCCCTGCCCTAGCGTCTGTTGTTTGAGCAGCGCCCCGGTGGGGTTGGCATGCCTTGACCGGATATCGCCCCTGTTGCCCCCCCTCCGGCGGGGGAGGAGCCGCCTTTTGGGAGACGGAACCTGTCAAGGGGGGGGGGAGCAGTTCGTGGCAGGGGGGTTAGTGTTTGGGCTGTGGTGTTGCGAGTAATGTGTTATGCCCCTCGACCGATATGGAGTGCCAAAGAGAGTTTTCCGGGGCGTTTTTCTGTGGCGGGACCCCTACAAGAAGCTTTGTCTTCTTCGGACTGCCTGTCAATCTTCTTCCTCCGTGCCAGGCTCATCGAAGCGTCCACGTAACCCTTAAGGGGCTTTGTACTATAGCATAAAGATGATCGCCACTCTCCCGGGGCTGGGTGAGGGAGTCGAGGCGACAGCAGCCTTGTACTCTGTATGTCGGGCTGCTCGAGATTTGTTGCGACCCCGGCGTGACGTGTTCAAAAGCTAGAGAGCTACAATGCTAATTTCAACGGTGACACCGAGAGCCAGTCATGCTCTCTGTTCGATGCTTCGGTGGGCTGGCGGATGGATATACCCTTGATGGTTTGTATCTACGAAGACCAGTCCCGGCGGGGACGTGGGCTTGTCCTGCGCAAGGCTGATGTTACACAACCGTCTCCCCATCGGATGCAGACCCCCTCATCCCACAGTGACGCATGGGCTCCAGGGATCTGGGCATTTCTAGAAGGCAGGAAGGGTGTCCTGCCTCTCACATCCCCTGTTGGACGACCACCCCTTGGTGCCAGGGTGCCAGGGCGCGCGCCTCTCGGCGATTCATGAATGGGCTGAGGGTTAATGACAGCCCCTGTGCTTCAGATCATGGCCGACCTGGCACATGATAGTATAGGAATCCTCTGGCGCTGCCAGAGGCGACGGCTCGTTGGTACCTATGAGCAGTGGTGGGCCAGAAAACTACATGGTACATGGACAGGATACTTCGGGAGTCTTTCTTGAAATCGGCGAGAGCCTGTTCGAATCTCATGTCTGAGGTCACAATCTCGACATTAAGATGGATCTCAAAACGGTGGGCACGTGCAATAAATTTGAGATGCATCTGAACCTTCTCCTGGGGGGGGGGGGAACAGAAAGACTTCACCGGGATTGATCACAGGGTTTGCGCAAGACGAAGGACGCCAGATGGATCATCATCCAGCAAAAAGGCAATATCAGGGTGAAGGATGCCCCAGAGGCGTGGTTGGGGAAAAACTTGAAGCCGGCCGGCAGCGGTTCTTCAGCTTCGTGATTCGGCATGCTGCATCTGTCGCACGGATGCAAGGCCTGGCGTTGCCGCCACAGATAAAGTTGAACATCGATCCGACTCATCGAACAAATGCCTTGGCTGCGGTGCTGTCGGATGGCGGTAAAGTCGTTGCGGTTCCTGGTGGGATGTTCAACGTTGATCGGTGGCGTGACGTTGGCCGAAGCTTGTGTCGGCACCTTGACGAACGTTCGAATGAGCAGCGACAGGTTATTGGCCCAAGGCGTTGGGAAATCGTGTCCTGGTCTCGGGTTTTTGCATTCAGATCTGAAAAGTCAATTCACGTCCATATACAGAGCCTGGGGGCCACGGAGCACACTGTAGAATTTGTTCGTGAAGGCGTCTTCGTGAGAAAATGATAGATCTACACCTGCCTACATCATCCTCCACCAGTAATGGCGAGAAACAGACTTGGAGCTTGTACGTCTCTCGCCGAGGCGGACCCGAGCATAATGTCGCCGAGGATCAGGCACCGCGGCCGCTGTTGGTACCATCCGGGCTCCCAAGATATCCTGCCGAAAGAGCTTCGCACTGCCAAGCTTCCATGATATGACCGGCCTAGCTCCGACAACTCTGAGGCAAAACGGGAGAAGCCGTCGAACTACCTGTATGTCGTGCTTAAACCCGAGCCTCGACTTCGGGATGGGTCTGTTTCTGAGCCATGTCTTTATATGAAGCTTCTCAGACCCAGGTCTTGCTCGACGCTTTCCGTTGCGTGACAGAAAAAAACATCAGTATGCGAGACGCTGCTTAGGCCTGTCAACTTTAGCAGGGGCCAGGAAATTGGTATCAAGCAAGGACACTTCCCTGTTCCCGGGTCGGCCGAAATACTTAAAAGCCAGCGATATAGCGACAATGCCCCAGTCTCGTTGGAGCGGTACCTGGTCAAGAGACCAAAGGCATGACGCAACCGATACAACGTCCTCGCAAGGCAGCTTCGAGCCCCAGCGTAGGAACGAATGACCACAACACGGCAACCCGTCCGCGTCCGGGCCCGCTCGGAGACTGGGAGCAAGCCCGGACCCGTCATCAATCCCGACGACTACGAAAAACCCTCCTTTAAACCCTCCTCCTTTCTCGCACCCCTTCAGACCAGGCAGCACTTACCATGATAGTGGCTGAAAGAAGAGTTCTCTCTAGGCACTTGGTCTGCGCACGACCTCTAAATCTTGCCTTTTCGTACTCCCACCAGTCGGGTCAGCCAAGCATCCCGCGAGCCCTCGCCAGCTGCGCCGAAGACAGCATCGGCCGGGGAGATGCTGGCGTCGCACCAGCGAGAAAGAAAAATGTCCGACTGCTGTGGTCACCCTAGGGACCCTTTGGCCGCAGGGCCTTGGCGGCTGGTCGCGTCAAGCCGTCATTTTGGCGTTTCAGCCGCAGGGACAACCTCGAGTCGTGGACGGAAAATGATGAAAAAAAAAAGAAACAAATAAGTTTCGATAATGCCTTTCCGCTAGAATGAGTTTCTTTTAAAGTTACGTGCGCTGCATTCTTTTGAGAGAAAGGGGGTCGTCAAGGAAAGAGCCGTGATTACCGAATCTGTGGTTGGGGAGGATTATGGAGCTTCCCGACCAACGTCCAGGGATTTGGGGTCGTGAATGCTATTGTCCGGTGACGCCCCTGCAGGACCGCTTGCCATACGTGCCTAAGGACGATGCGCAACATAGTTCATACTAGCGGGCGTCTTGGTAGAACACAGAAGCATAATACCTTGTGACAACCGCTGATGCAATCGAGGTATATTCAGCGCACAATGCTACCGATACTTGCATGGTTTCCAAGCCTCTTCCCCTCGCCCTGTGACCTGTGAGCCTACAGCCCGTAAGGCTATACCCCTTCAACCACTTGTGGGCTTCGAATAAAATAGACGCGTCGGTTCCACCCATCGAAACAAGGTATCGTGTTGACGTTAGCAACCCGGCCATCCAGCGTCAAAAGTCCATCCCATCTGCCAGTTGAGACGTCATCATCTAGTCCAAAAAAAAAGACAAAGAAAAAACAGAAAGGAGAATCACAAGCACCGCAACGCCGAGTTCGCCAGATTTGATGGTGCGCCAGCCTAGGGCGTTTGGCCCGTGGGACGGCTAAGTCTTCCAACACCCGCAGCTATCACAAATGAAGCAACCTGTTCAGCTTATTGAGCACTGTGTGACCTGGACCGGGAGACGTGTCGGTTCAGCCCAGGCCTGTTGCTACTGCTGCTCTCTCTCGTGGCACCGTCCCGAACGGCGTCGCTGTAGCTGGGGATTGGCGGATGCGAGGGCCCGGTTAGCAGCGTGGCTGTGCTGCTGCGACTCCGGTTGACCACACGAATGAGGGGCGTGTTTTCTTCACTGTCCGAGCTGTTCCTGCGGCTGCCCTGGTCCGAGTGGTCGGGGCTTGTGTAATCTGGGGGCGGGTTCAATGCGTCCTGCATTCCCAAGCCGATGTCGCTCTCCTCGTCATCGTCACGGTCTCCGTGCCCGCTGCCACTGGGCTCACCGCTCTCGTCGGCGGGAACGAAGTGCGCCAAAGAGATATCAGTCGGGCTTCGAATCGGGCCTGGACTCCTTGGGGGGAGAACTCTAAAGTTGCCGCTTCGTGTGCGACCGTGTCCGGCCTGGGGGTTGAGCACCTGACTGCCACCGCCGCGAGATGTAGATTGCACAGATTGTGAGTAGGACTGCGAGTGTTGGGGAACGCTGGCCGAGTATCCGTCCTTCCGTCCAGCTTCCAAAAGAATGTCGCCCTGCTCAGATCCATATGGCGGTGGAGGTGCCAGGCTGCCAGTCATCGGTGCGAGACCCCACTTCTTGACGTTGGCTTCGATGAAGACGAAGCCGGCTTGGCCAAAGTTGACGTGGACGGCGCAGGGACCATTGGCTCCGACGGCAGGGAAGAAGTTTTGGGACTTGAGACCATGGACGACATCCTCCAATTTCTTTCCGTTGCGAGTGAAGAAGATTGTGCCCGTGCGAGGGCGATAGCCAACACCTATGACATCGCCTTGCACGTATTGGGGACCGTACTGTGTACCGTTAAACGGTTGGTTGTAGCGACGCTGGCCAGTCGAAGTGTATGCAGCGGAGTATTTGTGGAAGCCTAAATGTGTCAGCCAAGGTTGTCGCGAAACATACAAACTAAACGCCAGGACATACCCGGGAGCCTGAACAGCGGGTAAGGCTTCGTGGCCATGCCGATGCTGAGCAGTGTGTTTCCAGGCTTGTCGTAGATCTTTGCCTCCCAGTAGTAAACCTCGTTCTGTTTGGGCACAGGCAGGTTACTGAGCACAGTGCATTCGGAGTCGAAGAACTCGATCTCGGTGCGGCCCTCGACGAAGCAGTTGGCGATTTCAAGCTCGGGCTCGAATTCCCAGGCGGAGACACCCTTTTCTTGGATAGCAAGGTACTGGGAGAGCGAGATATCGGTTTGGAGAGACTCGGGCGGATTAGCAGTCACGAAAGCTGAGGGATTGATTCGTCAGTTGAGGCTCTTTCTCGACGATGAACGACGCATGCGTCGGGATGAATGGCTCCACAAACGTACCCTTGGCTCTCAAGTATTCTGTGCGCTGATTTTCCTCCATGGACTCGAGGGCCTCTGCCTCCTCGCGGGCGAATGCTTGCTCGTCATCGTATTCGCCGGGGCGGCCGATGCGGTCAAGGAAGATGCGACCGCTACTTGTGTAGCGGAAGAAGTAGACGATGAGGAAGATGACGGCGATAAGGAAGGCGGAGCCAAAAGAGGACAGGAGACCGATAACGACGCCGTTGAGGGCGGAAGAGGGATTCGTTGCCGACATGTCGTCGGTAGATGTGTAGAAGGTTCGGGTGTGGGATCGTGGTCGAGTCTGAAGGAGCCCGGCGTCGTCGAAGAAGACTGGTGTCGTCGGAGACTGGCGTCGTCGAAGAAGACCGGTGTCGTCGGAGGAGACTGGCCGTCGTCGAAGAAGACTGGCGCCGTCGAAGGAGGGTGGCGACGTCGATGCCCTAGCCGGATGGACGGGATCGAGGGGGACGACTGGCGTCACCGCCGCAAACGCAGCATTCGCCGGGGGTCGTCGGCTAAGGATGCTCAAGTATGGGAAACTCGGGGGTGGGCGCCGTGCTGTGCGATGATGGAACAAAGGAAAACAAAGATGACGAAGGGGCTCGATGGCGGAAAGGTTTCGTGTGATGCCAGAGCCGCTGGTGCTGATGTGAGGTGACGGGCGGACTGGGTTCGAGTCGGCGTCGGCGGCGGGTGGTGTCGCTGGGTTGCTGTGGTTCCACGGCTTACCCGACCGAAGCACTACTGGTACTGCTGTTGGTGTGCTGGGCTGGTGGTGCTGGTGCCGGTGCTGGTTTGCTGATCTGATCTGATCTGCTGGGGCCTTGGGGTGGGCTAGGCTGCTGCGGGCGGATGGGGACGGAACGGGGGGACACTTGGGTCTTGCCTGGATTCGCCCTTGACTCTTCTCTGTACTTGTATCGGTATCGATAGTGGCCTGAGGGGCTAGATCGGGCTGTCCAAGGGGCCTCGATCAGGAAAGGCCGCACCGCAGGGTCGACGTTAACGAAGGAGGCCAAGGGAAGGTGAAATCAGGGTATCACTGGAGGGAGAAGAATATTGGACAACCAGACGACAATAGTCGCAGCAAGGAAAGAAGAATTAAAGGCACCGCCTATTGGGAGTTGTGAGAGGGAAGTAGGAAGATGGGATGGATGCATTGGGTCCAAACAGGAGAGGGGAGAGAGCGGAAGCAGTACCTGAGTGATAGACAGACGGAATGCACCTCCAAGAATACCTATCTACCTGCCTGCCTTCCCTACTGGCTACCTACTTGTCATGTACACAGTGAGGTACCCAGCGGTCCCCCACTCCCAGTCTGCCACATCCTCAAGTGCCAGGGCCTCGCCGGGGTACTCCTACCAATCGAGAGCGCGAGGGCAGGTATCTGAGCACGTGCCTCTCTTGTTAGCAATCAGGACTCATTTCCAGCGGAACTCAAACAAGTCCCAAGACCGTAGAAGTACCTCACCTGTCCTGGGTTTCGAATCCAGGACGTACGTACATGGTAGGTACGCACCCCCAGGCACCGTGCTTGCCTCTCTTTACTCCTACCTAGGTACCTGCCTTTCTTCCTGGATTGCTGTTGCTGCTGCTGCGCCGCCAGTAGTGGGCAATGCAGTGGTGGGCAATGACACTGGGTGGAACCTGCCAGCTGAAGTCATGCAGTGCTCATCGGCACATCTTCCAGATCACATCACACGCCCGCCCCCTCGTCTTTGCGACAAAACCACAGCATGACGAAAATACATCAACATGACGGACGAAACATCCACCTCATCTCACGATGCCCTCATTTCCCGCATCTCGCTCTCAACATTCCACACCAACTGCTCCGCCCATAATCTATTCTGCTCGGTCGGCGCTTAGCGAAGACTCGTTTCAAGACCTGACGCGCG